CCCTCCTCAAGTCATGTCCCCTGTAACGGTATCTTCAATTGACCTGAACGACAGTACTCAGCCGACTCAAGCAGAGCACCAACCACAGTGCGAAATGGAGTCTTGCTCTGGCATCTTGATAACCCCCTATCTTTTGCAGAGCTAAAGCAAAGTACTGGAATGAATCATTCAAACAAGGATCCTATTGTTTTCCTATTTATTTCCTATTCGTAAAAACCCAAAAATCCTATCAAATTCCTATTGAACCCCTAACAGTAATTATTTGCAAGAATCGCAGTCTGCCCAGACTTAGGCCATCTCAAGCGTAGAGTGCATGTGTGCATGTACAATGGGGAACTTGACGGCATTCTATCCCACTGAACCCGCAATCCTAAATTGTTGAGACTCTAGATTAGATGTTGCACGCTCGAACTGCGCTGACTTATCGCCAGCTTATCCAAACCTGAAATATCCAACTGCCTGCTCACGCAAGCTCCCGAAAAGCCACACCTTAAAAGCAAGGCGCTCTCCGAAAAGCTTGCGAGCGAGCTTTTGAGCTCGCTGACCGTGCTGTCTCGCTAGGTCCGGGCAGGGTGGGTCGGCATGGCATGCGCTTCCTTCTAGGGTGTTCAGGTGAAGGTTTGTGGTTTCGAGTTTGCATCAAGTCTCGGTCTGGGCATTCTGGTGAGGCTTCATGCCCTCATCGCCGAACTCTGGGCGCTGGAAGCATCTGAAAGTAAAGGACTCTCTGTCGTACCTTTTCACATAGCATCCAGAGATTGGACTAATCCAAGTGATATGGCTCAAGTGGTACTCTGTTCTATTTGGCATTTTAGCATTCTTCATGGTGCTCACTCTGTTTGAGGGTGAATGGCCATTTTGCGTGTTGTGCCAGGGGCTGGCGCGCTGCGCCTTTGGCTCCCCGAGGGCCTCGAGGCCCGTACCGAACGGTTGATTCTTTTCAAATCGGAAGGGTGAAAGTGCCTTCAGCCTTCGGGTAAGATGAGTTGCCATTTTGGGGACATTTTGAGGTGATTGATCCAAGTTGAGGTCAGAAGCAGGGAGCTGCACCGCTTTTGATATTCAAGCCTGATGCAAACCGCACTTTTGTGCAAAGTAGACCTAAACACCGAGCCGCCGAATAGACCTGACCCTGGCCCTCGACCCGACGAAACTTTGCGACAGAATCCTCCTCTCCCGCATGCCTCCGTTACAAGCCCAAACCACGAGGCAGCAGAACCTGGGGAACAGGCCCCAGCCGCTCGGCAGGGCTGGTTACTATTGTCGAATTTCGGTTGAGGTCTTGGAGTTGTGGGGTGCTCTAGGTTTTCGGGGATAGCTCAAGGTGTGAGGTCTTGTCATTGGCAAACTTCGTCTTGCCGCGTACAAGGTAGCATGGCACACAAGATTCTGTGTCTGACGTACAATTCGCTCAGTTGTAGATACATGCGCTGTGAGTCGCCAGGACCAGGCAGCTCAAATTGCGACTTTAAACTGCTTCGTGTCCAGCCTTTGATCTTGAGGGACCTGAACCTTGCAGGGTGCAAGCGCCGAAAAGGCGGGCCAGACCATAGGCCCTGAGCCCTGAGGCACACAAACCTTGTGTCAGTAGTTCCGTTACAGGACGTGTTTGGGAGGCTAGGGGCCTAGCGTTTACCGTTAGGGAGGAAAGGTGTTCTTCTCCAACGAATCTTTTGAGGCTCCGTTCTCCGAGGTTGCGTGGTTTTCACGCTTTCATCCGTCCAGCCTGATCTTGGTGTTCTTGTCTTGTTACTCGTTGGTGGCTTTAAGTTGAAAGTTTGGTAACTAAACCATAAGCCCTGGAACCACAGGACCTTGAACCCAAGACTTCCAACCCCAAGGGCCCGCGACGTGCACAGCCAGACTTTGGAGCCCCTGTTTGGGATTCTCTTGACTCTTGACCCATGACTGCACTGCTCCACAGTTTGGGCTAGGTGCTATTGGCCTGACTTCCTGAAGAAAGCACCCCAAGTGGGGAATGCCGAAATCCACTTCTTTCATCTTCTTCCACTTCCGAGTCTCCCAGGTCTATCTACTCTTTGAAAAAGACGACTTCTTCGGCATCTCTGAGAGCTCAAGCGATGCACCGCAGGTCCGAACTTCTGGATATTGCCTTGTGAGCCAGTTTTTCGGCAGTGTTTGGGAATTGAGACTTTGTTTTTGGCCGTTGCTTCTGTTGATTTCGAGATGAGGTTGTCTACCGCGAGACAGAGCAAACCTGCAAGAAGCCGGACAATCAAGAAGTGGTCTTTTGTATTATGCACTTTGTATGACGCAAACTGTCCAGCAGTCTCGCGCTATGCTACAATGCGCAGTCGCATGGGTTCTGAGAGAGCCAATGCGATGAGTCCGATAAGGCTAGCCACATGCGGGCAAACGTCGCGGAGTGGTTCTAGAACCGTTGTCAACATTAACAAAAAGGTGAGAGAGAGCGCTTGCCATCGATCTGACCAGACGAGCTGGACTACTCCAACGTATGTACACTTCGGTCTAACCACACAGACTGGACTACTCGACCGTTGGAGCACACATTGCATTGGTCTAACCAGACAAGCTGGACTACTCGACCATATGTACCTGTGCATGCACTTCCGGTCTAACCAGACGAGCTGGACTACTCGACCGTATGTACACATTGGTCGACCGTATGTACACGCTTCACTGGCCTAACCAGACGAACTGGATTTCTGGACCCCTAGCAGGACTTGATAAGTGCATCCGTTCAGAGTTTATCATATATGGCCACGTACCATGATGAATCATATTGTAACATAATAGTACTGCAGCACCTCCTGCATGGAAGAATGATCCACGTGATGGCACATTTTCGGCGTATATGGTACAGCGTCACCCGCCCCCTTCCCCCCCCCACCCCGTGCTATCCCCCCTACCCCCCTGCGGTGTGGTGCTTTGTGGTGGTGGGTTTCAGTTAACCCCTAACCCTGCCCTCTCCCTGTCGTGTGGTGTGGTGTGGTGGTGGGCTGTGGTTTCAGGTTTAGTGTTTAACCCCCTTCCCCCCTCTCTGTGATGTTGTGGTGGATGTTGGGTCTAGGGTTCAGGGTTTGCACCCGCGCCCCCTGTGTGGTGTGGGTGGTGGGGTTGTTGAGGGTTTAGGTGTACAGATATGAAAAGGTTGAGGGTTGAGGGTCAGCAGCTGGGCGCGGCGCAGACCGAAACCATGGCCCATGCAGGTGAGTGTCGGCACTTTGGACACACCACGAAGTTGCATAGCTTCAAAAGTCACAACACTCACGAGGATCCCGGGTTCGGGGGGCACATCCCTGTGACTGTTGGCACTTCTGAGACAA